GGGGGGGGGGGCAAAGTGGACTTGTGTGAAAAAGTGAACTTTTGGGGGAGAAAGGGGAGGAGCTGGCTTGTGGAATTTTGCTTGTCAGTATATGAGAAGCAAACCCTTAGAAGAGAGAGAAGACATTTTTCATAGGGAGAGGAGGGGTGGTTGTATTCTTCTGATGGGCTTATCCGGTACATTTTTTCTGGCCATTTGGCATCCTTGCGATGCCCGCGAGGGGCAGCTGAGTGGCACCAGCTCTGTGGTTTTTCTTATCCAGTGTTCTTGGGAATCCCTGGCCCAGGTACCTATGCTTGCCTCAGTAACTGTTCCCTCCTTAGCTGGCCTAGAGAAAATGTCTTTAAAGACTCAGCTGAAGCATTACTTACTCTGAAGCTTTTCCTGACCTTGCCTCATCCCCAGAATTCCTCTGAAGCTGTTCTGAGTTTTGCTCGTCCCCAATATTGACCATTCTTTCCTTTGTATCCAAACAGTAGCCTGTATAGCCCCCCCAAAAAAATTTTTTTAGCTATTTTACTTCTTCACATGTCTGCCTCTCCTTACTTGTTCACATCCATCTCTTAGTCCCCAGGTGACAACAGAACACCTGATGTTAAAATAGGAGCATTTAATAAATAGTATTATGTCCCCCTTTCTGCCCCCACCCCCCACAATCCTACTAACTCCTTTGGACCTTATAGCAGGATAGGAAACGGGGAAGTGCTATGTCATGCTGACTGAGCCTCTCAAATTTTTTTTCTTTTTGGTATTTATCATCCTGCCTTGCAACAGTAGTGATTTTTTGTTTCTCCTTCCCTGCCTGAGACTGAACAGTTATTTTGCCATTATTCATTTCCTTCTTAAAGAGACAAGGGAGACATAGATTTCAGAGTTCAACAGTGGATGATTAATGGTACAGGCAGATTAAACCAACAACATACTGTCCTGCTTCAGCTGAAAGAAAATTACCATTTACTGAATCTCCCATGTGCCAGGTTTAGGACTGGGCACTTGGGCTTGTCTCATTTAAGAACCAAGAGAGTTATCCTTGCCCAGTGAAGTGGTAACAACCTATTTCCATGGGAAAATAAAAAATGAAATAGCAGAACAGAGTTCTGAAAAAAGAAAAAACCTGTTGAATATTTGTTGTTTAATTACACAATTGTGGAGTCTTTCCTCAGAGAACAGTAACAATTTCAGAAATGGGGGTAGAGGAGTTTTTTCCTTTATCCTTCTATAGGACTTGCTCTGTCTCTATTTTTACAAATATGCCATTGTTTTATCTTCATTTGTTCAGCAGTAGTCTGGGAAGGATTTTACCTGTTTATCTTCATAGTACCCTCCAGAAAATCAGCCTAGCAAGGAGAGGCTACTTTAATAGTCCAGACAAGAATTCTCAGGACTGTAATGTGGCATTGGCAGCAGGATGGGAAGAAGGAAAAAAATAATATGTCTATAGGATTTAGGATTAATTGGGTTTAGGGTGAGAAGAAAGAGGAAATTCAGTCTAATTTCTTGGTTTCTTATTCTTGGTAACAGAATGATGTCATTAGGAACATAGGAAACACTGGAAGAGAAATAGTATTGAGGTTACAAATAATGACAAACATTTATTGAATACTATGTGTTTTACAGTTGAGGCACCTGATGCCCAAAGAATTTAAATAAATTGTCCCAGGTCACATCTAATAGGTGTTAGAGCTGGTTGTCACCCCAGGCAGCAGAACTATCATGTTGCTTAATATGCTAATGTGATATTATAGAGACTATAATGTGAATGGTGCCCCATGGAGTGAAGTTGTGCCTTACAGTAGTATGGCCAGGCTGTATAACTCTGGAGTCCACCCTATTACTGACTTCTCTTTTAAAGGAGGAGATAATCAGTTTGGTTTGAGACAAACAACATTGAAATGCTCATAAGACATCCAGGTGGAGATGTTCAGAGGTCACTGTTGGAGATGTATATTTAGAATCAGCAGCACAGAGGTTTAATTCTATTTATAGGAGGCCTATACTCTGCTAGGCACCAGACATGCAAGATAAATGAGACACCATCTATTGAAGTGTTTTAAAGAATCACTAAATTGAATGAATTGGCTGAAGAGTGGTGAAATTCACAGAAATGCAGTGAAATAGATTTTGGAGCAGGTGATTAAGAGCCCACTTTGGGGCATGTTGAATTTGGGATTCCAGGGAAAGATGGTCAGGAGGAAGCTGGAAATGTGTAAACTTGAGGGAAAGCCTATGGGATGCCTGTCTTGTTCATCATGTTATTGAGATAGGCCAGTAAGCCTGAACAAGTGGAATAGGGAAACTGAGACAGATAGCTGAATGAACTGACAGAGCAATTTGCAGCAGATAACAGAAGGTCGCCTCCCTAGAAATAACATCTATGCCCCAGTTGTATTTCAGCTCCAGACCCAGAAAAGCAGCAAAACCAGGTGGGCAGCACCAAGACTAGCTGCAATGACTAAGGATCCCCCTGACACTGACCAATCAATAGAAATCATGACCCTGAACGAGCACACTTAGAAAACTGATGAATATTCTGCTGGAACCCTCCCCTGAGACCAAGGGTCCCTGCCTGCAAGAGAGAGATAAAAGCCTCAAGACAAAGGACCCAGCTCCTGCACTCCTTCCCAGGAGCATGCCCAACCCCGCACCCCACCCCCTTCTTCCTTCACAGACGTGCAGCTCCGAAACTGTAAGGGACCCCACGAGGCTTGCAACAAGGGCAGCGGCAGTTCATCCCAGGCAAAAACCCTGAACCTGTCCCCAAGGTCCCCTTTTCTCTGACTTAGTGAGCCAAAGCAGACCAGCCTAGGCACATTTCCCCAGCCCTTTCTAGTTTCACTGTCCCCAGCTTAATAAATGTCCTCTAAAATTCACCTGGACTCGTGTTGTGAAATTTTTCTTGCATGAAGTCAAGAACCCACACACTACCAGCTGGCACGAGGCAGACCCGCTCAGGGCCAGGTTTCCTTTCTGGTAACATTCTAACCCTAACACTTAGCAGCCTGTTTCCTTGCACATAATAGGTACAATAGATATTTGTTAAATAAATTAATCATATATTTTTACATCATTCATAATATCAAGGATACTTGAAACTGGGGGGGAAATGAAATCCCTGAGAAAGTGGAAAGAGGTAAGCTAAGACTAGAACCTCAGAGAATTTCTATGAGGCTAGGAGGAGGGATAAAAGCAATTTAAGACAACTCAAAAGGAACAGCATTTTCTGGGTGGGTCATTCATGAAAATGGATTGCTTCTACCAAAAATAATTTCCTTGGGTCACCACCATCAGTACTGAAGTTTATTGCACC